TTATTTATCACTCTTAAAAGCTTCCTTTAAAATTTCTATCATTCAGATACTGGCTGGGGAAGATGTAAAGTACAGACAAGCATATTTTATGCACTTGCTAGTCTAGCTTTTATGCTGATGAGAACTTACTAAACATCAGTAAAGGGAACAGTAGTTATCAGCCCTAATTCACAACTGTGAATTTTTTAGGCCAAACAGGTGCCCTTGCAGAATCACAGCCAAATGTTAATGACAGGCCGAATCCTTCTTCCACTGTAGTCACCAGTTACTTCATACAGCTTCAAATTAGACCAGTTTCACTCCAACTCTCTGAGCAAGCATGCTGCTCTCAGTGAGGAACTCATTGCCACAGTGAGCAGGACAGGGACCTCTACCATCACCCAAAGAAGGGAAAATAAAAAAGACACTATACTCTGCCTCAGGATTTTTTCTTTGGTGTATAGAAGTCTTCTTTTAAATTCTTTTTTCAGTTGATTAAAAATAATGGGAAGCAGACCTTCAACATGAAACCAGATAAATACACCATGAGACCTCTTTTAAAGGACACTTAAAATCTCCTCAAGATCTGTACAGTGAATTTTGCCATCACTTATACCAGTGCAACAACAGAATAGCTTGCAGCTCCCCCAGGTAGCAGAGGATGGACAAGAAAGTTTGGTGCCCATCTTTAGATCTGTGTTCCCAGACCCACCCACCAGTATGAGAGTCTGCACGAGAGCTGAATGGGCAGGACTCCAGTCAAGAGCTTTACACTGCAAAAATTATTTGTCAGGTAAATACATGCTCATATTTAAAAGGATTCAGGGTAAGAAAATTTAAGCTCAGGTGTAAACATTTGCAAACAGGTTTATTTTTTCTACCTATGCACTTGAAACGAACATTGAGAGGGCAAAACTGCCTTAATCCTACCATGGCAATGTCTTCCTCTGCTTCCTAAAGCTGAGATAATCATCTCATTGGTTGTCACACAGCTCCTGAGAGAAGTAATTAACTTGATTTTCCTGTATAATCACAGCACAGGATTTTATTGCTGTTGTTACTGGAATAGAAAATGCACATAGGCTGTTCTCTGTCTTGCCCCTTTTAAATTACTTACAGACCTGGATGTGGCAAGGTTCAAAAAGCCCCAACTGCACAAAGAAAGCTAAATCTGTGCTCACGCTAAGTTTCAAGTAACATGCTTGTTAGCAGCTCTTCTCAACAAAGGCAGGAAAACTTCCAGTTTTAAATTTCTGTTCAAATTAAGGCAATGAAGACTGAAGACCACAAAACTGTTGCCACTGCTTTCCAGCACATGAAATTAACAATTCATGCTGCTGCGTACAACTTTCAGTCAAAGTTTGTCTGATTTATAAGGAAGCAGATGGTTCACACGATAGTCCACGATAAATTACAACAGTTAGAAAGACAGCTACATTTTGAGAGTGACAGTGCAGCTGAGCTACAGATGGGTTTATAGATGACCCTTCCAATTTTTAATAATTTCCATAATTTATGTACAAGTAAAGAAATGCAAGGATTTCTAATGCACCTTCTTGACTAAGTACAAATCACTTTTATTTACATCGACAATACTTCATGGTCCAGTTAACTTCTTAATTAAAGGCAGCAAGATGCTCATGTTCCATGCAAGTGGCATGGAAAATACTATTTAGTGTGCAGTATGTTCAGATGGGAGTTTAAGATGCTCTGAACACTCCTGGAAAAGGGAATGCATCTATCTAATTTCTTTAAAACAAGACTACAAGGGTGCAAACACTGCTACCACCAGCTACTATTCATTGATCTCCAGATAAACTTTAGGTTCATGCAGTAACAAGGTTATGTTTATTTGCAAGCTCTTATGCTTAGAAATAGGTTCCTAATCCAGGAGGCACTATAAACCCAATATTACTTATCCAGGACTGGGGAAACAACAGGAACAGAGACCCTCGTTATATGAAGAGAGAGGGATTTTTGGGGGGTCACTCTTGAATGGGTTAGGGAAAAGGAAAGCAAGCCTGCAGGGTGCCATTCCTGAGACAGGAGGAGCGGTGACGCAGAAAGAGACTGGATGGAAGCAACTTTAAGAAGCCAGTTCATGTCAGTGACTTTAATGGCCACTTCTTGGGCACAGGACCGAACCACATCAGTCCAATCCTTCTGCTAACATTTTTGGAGGGACTTCCAGAAAGATGCCTTTGTTGGACTGTCATCAGTTACATGCCACAGTACAACAGATTCAGTTCTTCTTCGTTGTAATTTCAGATGCAATAAGTTACCTTCCAAAAGGAGCCCAGCTAAATGCCACTACTCTGTCCAGAAGATGATGAAGAGAGCAGTACCTACTAGAGTTCTGTAAGACACAAACTACAGAAACTCAGAGGTTCTCACACAGCCAGTCTCTTGGGATGACATTTGAGGGCTTGTCCTCCTCTCTAAACCTTGGTCTTCTCTTTCTGCCAAATTAAATTGAAAAAGAAATCCACTTTTAAGTGGAAATTCAAAACTACCTTTAAACCAGAAGTCACAGCTCCTAGGAAAGCAAGTCTGTGTGTAATTGTAATTACCACCTTCCTGGGACTTAAAAGATGCAGCAGATAAGAAGAGGCACCAGTGACAAATTTAGGCTTTCAAGAATTATCACAGTTGATGTTTTGGAGATATTTTGGCAGGGATTGCACAGCTCTGTTCACAGCAGGGCAGCAGGACAGATTGGGGAATAGCACTGCAGAGACATGAGTGGGAAAACCCACTCCACGGAGGTCACGGGACTGCAATCACTTACAGAAAAAGCAATTCTTCCCCTGCCATTTCCATGCAGCACCAGCACCCTGCCATCTACTACACAGAACCACAGTGAAATTAAATTTGTTGGGTTTTTTTGTTTGTTTGTTTTTTTTTGTTTTAATTAAAATGTTCTATAAATAACCAGTGTCTGAAAGTCTTTTGACCTTTATATAAAACCATTATCTATTACTGCATACAACACTTATGTTGCTTAATTAAACATATGAAAAATATTAGATGTCAGCTTATTTCTGGGATGCTCTTTACTGTTATTTGTCATATTGTTTCTATGACACTTTGCATATTTGAAGCCACATTATGCACTTCTGAAAACCCAGAAAAGATTACTATGGAATTGGTATGGATGTTCATCTGTACTGCTGAGTGTTGGGTTTGGCACTTTATTTTAGCAATATTTGTCAAGTTCAGGAACCGTTAGCATGCTTCCCTCCAAGAGAATACTGGGTTCTATGACTGTTCTTTAAAAAAATATAGTGTTGATTATTTAATGTTTTCAAATATTCCATAACTATCATCATTTGACTGACTGCAACCCGTTCATTTGCTTACAAGAGGTCAAATTCACAGACATCACAAGAAAGCAGAATATCAATAGTATTGACCCTGTTTCTCCCAGACCAAATGTAATTCCAGCATTATGATCAACCTGGAAGTCAGCACAGCCTATTCTGGTTTAACTCCACTGAGAAGTCAGAAAAATCATACACATGGTTTATGTACCTATACAGTTAATACAGTTTCCAGGACTCATCTACTGAAGCCAGCAGGGATGCTCACTCACTAGGCTGTAGATCAGACCTTCTGGCTTGTGGCTAGATCCTTCCCTGGCTAACAGCAAAATTAATTCTGGAGGAGGGATAAAGCAAGGAACATACACACAGCCCTCACCTTATATTTCTTGTTCCATGCATTCATTAAACTGTCAGTGGTGTTGAAACTAGTTTAATAACCTCAAGAAGGGGACACCTTTTGTCCCACCTGCCATATTAAAATGCAGACAAAAACGATAATATGAAAACAGAAGACTCCCCAGTATTAAGAAGTGGTTCTCAGTTTTCTTAGTAATCAAATATTATTTCCAGTAATCTAACTAGAGAAAAAGAAATGTAAGTAGCAATTTGGCAGTCTATTTATCAAACTGAGTGCTGCACCTTTCCCACACATTTTATGTTACACAGCATATGACATGTAAGGTTCTATGTTTCTGTTTTAATTCAGGGATGAAAACATTTATAGATATGAACATTTTCTTATTAACTTTTCTTCCTAAATGATTATGCTCGTTCAAATCAATTCCTAGCCATCTTATAGAGGTTACAACCTTCAATACCTAGATCAGATACTGTTCTGGCTGTTGTGTTGATTATGCTACAAGTTCCAATTTCTACAAGAGCACTGAAATCCTGAGATAAAGGGATGTTAACTTTATTTAATTAGCTATCTGCCATTGTTATCAAAATGCGAGGTTGGTATCTGACTCAAATTAACACTTTGGATCAGGAAACAAGACAGATGACATCTTCTGAGAAGGATCCTGGAAACTCTCTGTAATACGTTTCAGTTATTTTAAAGCTACTCAGGACAAAGACAATGGCATTAGAAAGAGTAAAAGTCACAAAGAGTCAATGAAAATGCTACTTCAATCATACTTGGGTTCTTTCTCATTTTCAGTTGTTAACATCCTTGCCACTTTTGTCAAACAGTCTCTCCTACCAGCACTGAATCTTAATTGCACATGATTTTAAAGCACAACGTGAAATAGGATTGAGCACATAATATGGGTTTATAGTGCCAGCTAACAACAGATCAGGCCCTTGTGCCAAGGCATCTCCTCTCTGCTCTCTGAGGAGTAACTAGTTAAACACAAGCTGAATTTCACAACTGCCTGCCATCCCTCTACCTCGGCAATATCAGGTCTCTCAGTTGAGGGTTATTTATGATTTATCCCAAAAGGAGACAAAAAGATAATGTGAAACTTCAAAGGTCCTGAAAGCATTTTAACTGTGGTTTACACAAACTACACCCACATATATCAACATTGCAAGAGGATATATTATCTGAATGAAATCCTCAAAGGACACTCACTGCCTCACTCCTCAAATTACATTTCTATAGAGTGGCCAAAGTAATTTATCCAATAAGTACGCCACATCATGGTTTCTTACTGTTAGGGCTACAGAAACGTGCTTATTCCTTTCCTGATAACTTACTGGTCTTGACCGGATTTCTTTGGCGTAGAGAGGTTTCAAGAATTCTGAATCTCCTTCAAGCTTTAGACCCTTTTCCGTGATTCTGAGGTTCCCCATTCCATCCTAAAACACAGACAAAAAGAAACAACCCCATTAGTTACAATCACTAAATTCACCAGGCTGCCAATAGCTTTTTGTTTTTTTCTTTTCTTTTTTTCCCCCTAGAGGATAACATGTAAAGCACTGGGAGGCACTAGAGAATGCAACAACTTGTGTTATCCTTTTAGCTCTGTTTCTGTGAAAAAAACATTCTATTCAGACCAATCTGCAATGCCCCCTAGTAAACCATTTACACAGATGAAAGATGTTCTTTTAAGCTAGTCATCTCTACTCTAAGAGATGCAGTGATGATCTGTGTTAACAGGAAACTATGCACTGTAATATTCACTGGCTGCCTGTATATTAATATACCTTCTCATTCATAGCAAATCCATATAAAGATTATGTGATTAATTCTACTGAACTCCATACAGAGAATACATGATTCATTCCACTGAACCAACAAAATAACGTCTGGCTATGTAGGAGTATTGCAATAAAATGTGGTAGGGAATTTGACCCGTTATTTGGGGAAATCTCTGCAAAACATGGACTCTTTGGTGGCATTTCTTTAGGGCTATTGGCCCTTCCAGCAAAAAGAAACCTGTTGATTAGTTTCAAGTCTCACAGTCTTTCCTGTGCTTTTGATATTGCTGAGATGCTACACAGCTTTATTCGAATATATATTTATGCAAATATTTGCTCTGGGAGAAGCAATGATATGACAGGAATATCTTTTCAGCAGACTGCTCTCCGGTCTTGGGCTAACTCCTCACTTTTCTCTCCCACGATGATCAGCTCAGGATTGAGCCCTCACTCTGCTCCTTGCATAGCCCAAGCACACCCCAGCAATCTCAACCTCTGTATGCAAATGTTTGGGTCTCCTGAGTCATTCTCATGCCCTTCAAGCAATCACTGCAAAGTCCGTTGGCCAAGCAAAGTGACTGATGTAACATGAACTTCTGTTCTCTCCTCATTCAGATTTCACAGTTGCAGCTATCAGTCCTCACCCCTTTCCCAGGCTCCACTGCCTCCTCCATGTCAGCTGCAGGCCTCTGGCAGATGACTGCAAATAGTCCCTTTTCTTTAGAAATTGTTTAGTTATGTGCATCCAAGATGTAATGAAACATCTGACAAACCATAATAGCAAACAAAATATATGTCAAATTTTTATATGAGTTTCTCTTATGTTTTTTATGCAATAAGACAGGTATACTGATACATTGGCACAAAGCAGAATTGGACCAAACTATATTTCACCTTTAACTTGTGAAAGTTGTAACTTTTACTAAGATGAGGGATTTAGGTTCATTTAGGCTATAACTGTTTGGAAAGGTGTGTGTGTTTGTAAGAAACATGGTGTGGGTAGGAAATTGCACAGGTAAATATATAATCAAAACCACATCAAATGCAAGGTATTATTTCTAAGATTCAGAGTGATTGTCAAAGTCTGCAAGGATTGAGGTAGGTTGTTTTTTTTTTCCTGAGAAAAAAAAGTCTGAAGAACACCTTTTAGCGTAGATTTGACTGACATCACTAGGATTTGAGACTGACACTAGCAAAAGCTCTGTCTCCATATGTATAAATTAAGATTGGAAAATGACCAAGAGTTGGGTAGTCAAGAACTGCCATGGCAATCTTCAAACATACCCCTTAAGGAATCCTTCCACCTGTTGTTTTTTTTTTTTTTTTTTTTTTTTTTTTTTTTTTTTTTTCCAGGCTAGAGAAGCAGGAGAATGATGCTATATGATGCCTCAAGGCCTCCAAGATACGGCAGGGTACAATAATCACAAAACCTACAATAGCTGGAGCTCAGCATGGGAAGGACATTGCAATGAGGGAAACACATACCAGCACTTCCAGGCAACAGGCTTCATGTTTACAGTGAGAGAGATGTTGAAGCCAAGGGTCATGCAGGATGGCAGGAGTAGTAATCTGGAGGAATTACTGATCTATAAATATGGACATGCCATACTGACTCCATGGCATCTCATTGTGCAATTTAGGGACTCATTGAGAGGGACTGAGTTGCCTCCTTCTCAAGTGCTGCTAGGCATGTGCTTAAGCACTAAAATCAAAATCATAAGAGCAACCTCAGTGCTTAACTCACAGCTGTTTCAGGGATTTTAGAGGAAGGGGATATTTACTTGGGTAGAAGCCCTAAGAAGATCAAGAGAAGACAGGGAAAATCCAGAAAAACCACATGTATTTGGATATGTCTTGCATGTTTTCTAATCCAGCTGCAAAAAATAAACCACATCTGGCTAATTCCTCTTCCTCCCATTGCGTGTACACCTCCAGCACTTCAAGAGGAATCACTGTCATTAAAGGTGAATAGCGAACCCAAACAGATTTGCATGAGCTATTGCCAAAAGGCATGAATTTGGAGGGATAAAAATCAAAGATGTAGCATGGATCAGAAGTGACACTGGTCACTCACCAGAGGTTCTCTTGTTCCAGAAAGTATCATTCCCAGGGTGTACCCTGCCAAGTAAAGGTCCTTCTTGACAGAGCATGATGTTTTATGAACAGAGGCAGGCTCAGGACTGCCGGGCAATAAAATGACCACTGTCATCTCATTTTGAAATGAAAGCTGTAAGTAAACATTACATAGAGACATATGCCAAAAACGCTACTGATTGAGAGATGGTTCATAAAGTGCGACTTGCTACATTCCTTGTCCTGGATGTAAAATATTGGCTTATGAATTCTGGGTTGGTGGTGGCACAGAAGGGGTTCATTTATCTCAAGCAAAAGGATGAAGGAAAATGAGTGAAATATGATTACGCACCAAAAATCCCAGATTAAATTATCATAGCAGTATGCTTTGTGATTCGAGTGAGTAGGAATTATTACAGCTATCTAAAGACCCCCACATGTTTTGTGCTGCTAAAAAACCTACATTTTTTTTCCCAGAATAGATATTTCAGGAAGGTTATGAGCCCTGAGGCCTTTCACATTGCAGGGTCTTCTCTGGTTTCATTAAGAAAAGTCGCAGGTCATATTTGCTGGTGTAGGCCACATATAGCTGCAAGAATGACCACCTCTGTGGATGCACAATCCTGACTACAACCAGGGTTCAGTCCTGAGCTGAAGTGGGGCAATACTTTACCAGTAACATGGACCAATGGATAAAGGGACTTGTCAAGTCACCACTGAAGCTATGGTAAATGCCAGCAATTTTGATGGCTCACGACTATATTCTATCCCAAGTAGTGAATAATCCCAATCCAGAATTCCACTCTGCTCCTCTCTTGTGTGTTTTTCTTCCTTCTCTGTCTCCAAAGTGCCCCCCATAGGATTTTTATATATGAAAAACACACATATGGGACATCTAGCTCACAGCTAGCAGGTCCTACACATCCCCAGAGAGGTATCAGGACAATGTACGACACGCAAAACATCAAGAACACCTTTGATTTAGGTGATGTAACAAGGTGTATTCTCTTACAAAACCACTGGGTTGGAGAAAAAGAGGCACTTCCCCATGTTACTCTTCTCAACCTCTGATCCCCACTCATCTTTCTCTCCTCCTGTGGATGCCTAAACTAATAAAAGCTGCACCCAGCAGACATTATCTTTTGACTTCCCTGGTGTTTGGAATCAGCATGCAATACTTAGCATTGACTGTTACCACTATTAACTCTCTGCTGCTCATGTTTCTCATGATTAAAGATGACAGCTTTTTGTAGTGACAGTTTGGGTCAGCAGGTGAAAAGACAAGCAAAGGTTGTAACCTGAGCTTAAAGTTAATGAGTATCCTGGCTTCTTACAGTACAATCATTATTAAATCATATTCATTTATTATTTCCTATTAGAAAAAAAATAAGCAGCTTGCAGAATTATATAGAGATCCCAAAATACAGATACATTAGAGAGAAATCATAGTATGAAAGACTACCTCACATCTTGTTTTGGATAAAGCATCTTCATCCTCCCTAAATTATATGCTTTAATAACAAATAAATGTCATACTCTGCTACAGAGAATATATATGAAAGTTCCTATGAAATTTCATGGACCATGACCTGTAAAATGTAGCAGAAAGCTGCCCAAGGTGACAGACACCATGAGTTTTTATTAAACATTGTGTCTGTGACCAGTATATGCACATCTACCACTCTATTGCTTGTGAATAAGAAAAAAAAACCCCAGTGTTGATTATTTGATACACTGACATCTGACAATATTTGTTTCTCCCCTTTTTATTAGCAGACTCCTCAGCAGAGAGGGAATGACTTTATTGTGCAAGCACAAGCCAGCTTTGTGGGAGCTTCCAGTAGGCCAGCTACAAACAGGAGGCACAGAGTCAGAAACTTTCTATTACCACCTGCTTTGAATTATTTGGTTAGGGCATGGTGAAAACCTTCACATCTATTTTATCATCTACGCCCCCTCTCTTTTTATGCAATGCCTTGTAATGGGCAGGCATAAAAATTTATGTGCTATTGCTGACTGCTCTGTGTTGAAATGGGACAGCAATGGTAAAATCCTGAATAACATAAATGTCGTTTTGGTGATGCTAAATGAGAAAGGATTTTTTTTTTTTTTTTAGTAGCTTGAGAAGCAACTCAGTTTTACAACCAATTACAAATGATGGTGCTAATGTCAAGGGAATAGCTCAGCATTGCTGCTATTTAATCACCAAGGCCCCTCTCTGCCTTTTGGTTAGCAATGTGGCTATACATGTGGGTAAAGCCTAGCTTTTTTTGTTTTCTCTTTTAGCAGTTGTGTCTTACCTTGTTTTATTTGTTTTGTTTTTTGTTTGTTTTGTTTTTTGTTTGTTTGTTTGTTTGTTTTTTGGTTTTTTTTTTTTTTTTTAAATTGTATGGCTGGTAGCTGTGAGATTCAGTTAACAGCATAACAAAAATCGGTCAACCCAACCACAGACGTGTAATTGCTGTGGTGAATACCTGGAAGTGGTATTAGCTGCACCAATCTGTATTGCTTACACACAGGAACAGGGGGAATTTTCAGTGGCCACTGCCATTCATGGGCATCTTTATTAGATCAGGCTGGGCTCG